TAGATAAACTGAACTTTTAATTTTTCAAAATTCAAATGATATAATTCATGCGATGCATTTCTTTCGTAAAAAATCGAAATTTCCGAAATGGCAGAATTCACCTGACGTTAATACTGAGATAAAATGGACTTGAAGCACTGCAAATAAGTGTTTGCAAATCAAGACTTTCATATTCACATGCAAGTGTATTGTTATTAGCTTAGATCCGAGATGACAAGATGCGTCAGCATAAAACATGCCGTATGCCCTTGCATCATGATCATTAGCATCATTATATTTAAATTTGAACAGTTTGGTTTCTTGGATTTGGTCAATAATTTGCTGAATTAACTCCTTTCTGATTAGTAATGAACATATTGGTTCGAAAAAAATGTGTTTAAACATTTCCCGTATCGATATTTCAAAAATTTTTCGATCCCGGGATGATCTCGGGATCAAAAATCGCTCGTGTGCCACGCGTGTTTGCTGATTGGTTTCGATTGTTTAGTGAATATTGGTAATTTATTTATCTATCTATTCAGTTCCTATGATCAGGAGTGTAATCAGATGCTTAGATAAATATTTTGTGTTTATGTGTTGACTCAACAAAACATCAGTGATGATGCTTTATAATGCTTTATTGAATTAGTTTGTGATGCATTTCATGTTGTAGTCATTTAATAATGATATTGTTCATTACCGATTGCCTTTTTGCAACCGATTTCTTCACTAGCGATTCTTTCGTTTCATTCGTGCTCCATCGGAATGTATTAATGATTGCTTAAACGAGAAATAAATACTTCTTAAGTTTTACGAATCCAACCAATAAGTTTTTCTATGTGCCGCACTGATCTTAACGAATTCATGCTCATTGAAACAGCTATTTTCTAGTATACATCAATGCTCAATGCACTTTTCATTTTTCAATATTGTATGACGTGATGTATGTAATTTCATGTTGAAACTTCTTGAAACATCTTCAAATACTCTGTTTATTTATGCATCAACTTACAACATCATTGAATATAAACACACACACATACATACATACATGTTCTAGTTACATATCTTATTATGGAATATTGCTATTTCTCGTTCCGTTCATCCAACACATCAGCATGTTCAATTCGAATGAATACTCGTTAAATGCCTCTGGTGAATTGATCGAATCGGGCATCTCAGTTAATTCCCTTCTATTGCAGCCAACAACACGAATGTAAACAAATAATTATTGCTGTCATTATCAATCTGTTTTCATGTGAGGGAACACTGAACTCAAATCATAATCTGAATATTCAACTGATTACGATAAATCGCGATTGCAACGCAGAAATGTAGTTCCTCTTGGGATATGAATCGAATAAATATGTTATTTAAGCGATATGAAATTAGATTTTATCTATGCTCATCAGTCGAATGATTGAATTGATATACGATATAAATACATACGTAAATATACTTCTGATATCATTCTATCCCACAGTCACTCACGTTTTGCATTGGTCTCTTGGATAACATCATTCATTATTGAAGTAATCTAATGATAGGTTATACTGACGATATAACTGATTGTGATGAGGTTGATGCTGATAGGTTTACTGAATAGTTTTGTTGAGTGATGAAAAATAGGAATTGAATTATGTGGGCGAAGAAAAAGGATACTGAAGTTGTTCATCGAAGCTGTTGACTAACTCACAAGACTTATTGATGAGTTGCAACGTGTCGATTACTTACATCTGACATGTTCGTCATATTCTTTTGAGATAGCTCATTGTATTGCTTGGTTTCAAATCAAATCATAACAACTATTACCTACATCACTTTTGAATAATGATCGATTTGTGTGTGAACTGAGTGACATTTTTACATCTTTCTTTCATTGAGCAGCTTTACGAGATTGTGATATATCTAATGGCTATGTAAATGTGCGTATAATTTTACCACTTATTCATGTCTTTCTTGAGAAATACACTCGTCAATGTTCGTAATCACACCATATCATATCGTAAGTGTCGTTTGTTCTTTGTCATCAACATGTTCATAAAACCCTCCGAGGTATTCTCAGTTTGGACTGTGTTCTCGTTCTATCACGTCAGTCATCATAAGTTTGAAGCGTGATATTCTAATTGCAACTTAGGCATGGGTTAATTCAGCAGACATTACATAAAGATGGATAGACTGGCGTCGTGTCATGCAATGCATGGCTTTTTGAATGTTTATGCGTATCGCAGGAAGGGTCATATCCATAGTAATTGCAACAATAATAATATGAAATCGCACATAAGATCTCGTTCGTTATCATCCTCTAATCATCGCGGTATGATAACACCACCACGCCATCCAGCTAAAGGCATCATTTCACCAATTGCATCGCACAGAAGTAAACTTTTCCACTTTGCATTTACTTGTTTGTGATATTTTATAACAGTTGGATTATGAATAGTAATACTAATGAATCAAACATTGAAGGACATTCAGTAAAAAAACTGAATGAGATGAAATTGATATTACAAGTGATGGATTATGATCGGTTTAGCCATGACGATCCCATCGATGAGATTCTTCTACTGATGAAACATGTGAAGCTCGATAAAAGTCCTGTTCACTGCACACATCTCCAGAAACCGACTGTTAGTAAGGTACAAACACATTCATACATTTGCTTTTATGTATCGTTACTGAAGAATATTTATGAATATTGTCAATATAATGTTGATGCATTTCGAGGAGTGTGTTGGTGAATTGATGCTGTCGCTATGCTATTTGCCAGACTCTGATAGAATAACAGTCAATGTGGTCAAAGCAAGACTTGTGCCATCCAAAGACTACTTCGGTAATTCGGGTGAGTTCAAGGCATCCAACTGTTTTCAGATTCAGTCTATTTTCAATTGCATTCACTTGTTACATTCATGAACGGTTGATATCCAATTATGATCATCATCTTGAATATTTAATGTTGATTCATTCGCAACTTTAGCTTCGTCATGTTTCAGATCTTCATGTAAAATTGTGGTTAGTAAAAGAGGGTGATAGGCTGGAGAAACGAAGGACAACTGTAAAGTCGCACACATTAACACCTGTCTTCAATGAGTCCTTCGTTTTCAGTGTTCCATCAAAGGAAACAATTCTTAATGAAGTTAATCTTGTTGCAACGGTACGTCGTTATATTTGTATATTGTCGTAATCAACTCACAAATAATTGCTATTATATATTTTATGTTTGAATTCATTCATCGTCAGAGCTTTCTATTGCTTTAAATAATGCAACAGCCTTTTTATTCTATACATCTCATTATTTCCATGGGAAAAATGAAATGGAAGAGTAGCATTTCACTGGTAAAGATGGAGTGTTTAAGGTGATGGATTTGACGAACGGAAACGATGAGGTTGGTCACATTGTGATTGGTGCATTGGGAAACGAGACTGGAAAGCGGCAATGGAACGACGTTCTGAGTCAACCTGAAACAACGGTGACCATGTGGCATAAGCTGTCGTCGACGTGGTGAGAGTTTGCTGCGTTGAAGCGAGCGACTGTTTGCCGCTGGGTAATGTTCGGTAGTAGTGATGATGAAGTGGAAGCTGCGATCGATCCACATTTATACGTCGACCGAGGATCGAATGATCCACATTTGCCGTTCCGTCGACATGCTCTCTACTTCATCACTTTCTCATTGAATCACCAACCTCATCCTCGAAACATGCATTGTCGTCTGAAGTATTGTGAACATCTATTCGGCCGGCATCCTTCACCCTCACATCCATTTCAGATCAATGATCTCTTAACATTGCAATTATATACTTACTTCATGAAAATCCTCATTCACATTATGAACATTTTATATTTAGCGCTCTCGAACAGCGTCCGCTGTATTGATTCAATCCATTCATCGTGAACCAGTCTTGTATTGGTATATCTTTTCTTACTGTTCGGTTTAATCATTAAAATATTGCGTTACCTGGTTTGATGTTATAACAATCCAATTCCAATTGCTACATTCATCATTCTGAGGCTTGAAGCATGTTAATGGTATCGAGAATATCCATGTGCTCGGGTTTAGAAAATTATCTTTCTACCAAACAGTCCCTTACAACAAGGTTTCTCCACCGGGGTGTGCGATGCTATTCCATGAGTTGCGAGATAACATTTCTTTTTACGCATTAAAGTAGGCGATGTCGCATTTCAACGCATACATGTGTGTAAAGGAAGCAAGAGTGCACTTTAACGTATGCATTTTTAAAAAGATTAGAACTTAAAAGACTCTAATGGCATACACTCATTTACATTCTGGCCATTCACTGTAGTGCAGTGGTTCTCACACTGGGGTGCTCCATTACTCGTTTTGTTGATCTGGCACACCGATACAAACTTACATACCCCTTCCCCCCTGATACAAAAACTTACAACTTCTACCTATAACGTCGGGAAGAAAAGGAAAGCCGGACCGGAAATTCCTCATAGGCATGAAAGAGATTAATTTTCTGGAATAAAACCAGTATTTTTAGAACTTTATTTATCCACTGCCGAAACAACATGAACCTCGGCAATGAAAAACGAAAAGCGATGAAAAGAACACTCTTCAACGATTAAAAAAATGAAATTCAACAACAAGTTCAATTACTCATGAAGAAGGAAGACGCAGTAAACATTTGAGGAATCATCTTTAAGATTTATTATTTAATCTAATGTTGTGTTGTAAGAGTTAGATCACAACATGCAAGCT